TGTTCTGGGGCTTGATTCACAGCTCTCTATCCTCAAAAGTAACCTGGCACATGTTGATTCATGGCATTTAAAGCCATATCCAGCAGAAATATCCCAGTTCTGCACCAATGTAATTTCCCAAATGAAATCCTGATAGACCAGCAACTACCATTAATATGTTATTGTTCTGATGTACTAAAATTTCTAAGTGTTGCTGTTTGACTAATACAGGCTTCGTCATCATGAAGGGTTTTATGAAACTTCTTGAGTGAACATGAAGATCATTGAATGTTACTTATGTTTTATTACTATACCCGTTCTGTTGTTGCCAGACCAGAGTTGTCAAGTAAAACATCATACAGAAACAGAGATATTTCTTACCTGTCTGTTGTCTAGAATGTACCAGTTTTTGAGATGAGAATACATTCTTAGCAGGGCAATTACCAATATTAAATTATTAATCAACTCCCTATCTTTTCCTAACACATGCTGAAATGACAATGCCACTCTTAAAAATTACTTCCACACCAGAATTCCTTGAAAATATCCAACAGTCTTCTTTGAATATGCTATAAATTTGAGAAGAGCACTTTACATATAAGTAAAGATGCTACTCATGGTATAGCATATAGTGCAAAACAGAGGCATGCTGGTGAAATGAGTAAAAGTAACTAAACTGACTGAATAATGCCTTCACAGCATAATCCATAATGTGTTGTGTAGTTAACTTTCCTTTTGCATCTGTCAAATGCACACGGTAAATACTATTTTGTGCAATTTAGTAAATATATCACAAATTTATTATCTAGGAAGAAATCTGTGGTTTAGTCCTATTACCTGTAAATCCAAAACCAGAAGTAAATTCTTTAAAATGAAATTGTAGGAAATTTACCCAGTTATGTTCAAGAGACTTTTTCTGAACATTGTGTTGAAAAGTCTTGAATGTTGTTGTTATCACTGGTGATAAATGAACTGCTAAAGTACTGACTTGGTAGTTAGCATCAGTGAAACAACATGACAATCTCAAAGAGGAATGAGCCATGATAATTTTATCTAGATACATAGAAACATTTTTGGAATGCTGATTTCTTGAGAGAAGTGCAAAGCATCCTGAAAACTGACCACATCTATTCCTTAGTTTTAAAATACAGTCTGAGCATTTTTGTCATTCATCCATCTTCTAGCCATTAGTACAATAAAATCAAACAATAATGGGATCATGTAAGCATCAGCACAACATTTGTTGTATTTTTTTTAGCTGATGATACTTGAATAATTGCCCAGTAAGTATAATATTAGTTCTTCTCTGTGACGGCATGTCATTATGAAATAATTTTTCTTTTAATGCTAAGTGCCACAACTTTTGTCATGGCCTCACATAGTGTATTAGAACACATAAAGCTTGGAAACTACAGGGCTGTTGGTGAACTGATGGGAGTTATAACAAGTAAGTCACATGAGATGTGAAGGCCTGCTGTGATCTTTCTGAAAGTGCTACACATAATCATAACAACATATTGCTCAAAAAACACTGGTCAGGGGTATAAATTGCAAAAAAAAAAAAAAAAAAATGGAGTGTGAAGTTAAATGCAAAAAATTACTATGCAATATGTAGGTATATGTAATGTGTAATTTACTTCCTGTCACCATCAAGCTAGAATCAGGTCCTCTCCTCTTCCATCTTAAGCATCCCAGATGTGCTGTGGAGGTGGTATTGTACTTACTGTATGCCTGCTACACTTTTGCTTTCCTTTGTCTAACCTCAAGTAAGGTAATAAATAATAAAAGTCCCTCATAGCAGGGCTACCTTTCACCCAGTTCTTCTCTTTTGAATCAGCTGTCAGGTTAACTGAGTCACATCTGAAGAGGTAAGAGGTAATGATCTTTGAACAGCTAATAAAAAATAAGACACATTGGAAGACCAGTACATTCCAAAAGGAAAAGGAGCATGTAATAGAGAAAATCTGCAGATCATACTTCTCAGAAACAAAAGCTTGGAGTAATCTTCACTCCCGGGCTGAGCAGAATAAGGATAACATTCTTATAAAGACAATTAGTGTGGACTCACAAAAGGAGGATCACGCTTCACAGATCTGATATCCCTTCCACAAGAGGGAAAAAGTCAGGGAAGCTACTGACATAATTAACCAAGACCAAGGGAAAGGTTTTCACACACAGATATACAAAAGACTTAAAGAAACCAAGATGCAAAGTAGACCGACAACTTAAGTGGGTAAGGAGGTAGGTGCAAATGTAGAGACAGAACTGTGCAAGGCAGAATTGCTAAGCTTAGAAATGGATTCCAATGTGTATGAGTCTATGGGGCCTGATGACATACATTCCAAGATCCTGAAAGAAGTGGCCAACATAGTTGCCAAGCCACTCTCCATCATATTCAAATATTCATGGCTGTCAGGCAAAGTTCCCAGTGACAGGAGAAAGGGAAACATCACTCACAATTTTAAGAAAGGTAGAAAGGAAGACCAAGGGAACGACAGGCTGATCCTCCTCCAAGCTCTGTTAAGGCAATGCATGATGAGGAACTGATCTGTGGCAGCCAGCACAGCTTCATCAATGGTAGACTGGGCAATCTAGTGGTGGCCTCCTGTCGTGGATATTAGTAGACTAATGAAGAGCAACTGATGTCATCTACCCAGACTTGTGAAGGCCTTTGTCATGGTCCCACATCATATCTTTATCTTCACCATTTGGATTCAAACAGTGGATTGTTCAGTGGATAATGAATTAGTTGGATGGTCGTACCAGACGGTTTGTAGTCAGTGACAATACAAGAGGAGGCTGGTCATGAGTGGTGCTCCCCAGGAGTCCATCTTTGGACCAGTGCTCTTCAACACCTTTATAAATTACCTGGATAGCAGGATAAAGTGTACCCTCAGCAAGTTTGCTGATGATACTAAGCTGAGTGGTGCAGTTGATACAATAGAAGGGTAGCTAGCAGGATGAGGGAAGTGACTGTTCCCCTCTGTTCTGCCCATGTGAGGCACCACATAGAGTACTCTGTCCAGGTCTGGGACCTTCAGCACAAGAAAGACATGAAGCTATTGGAGAAGGTCCAAGTGAGGGCCACGAAGATGATTAGAGGGCAGGAGCACCTCTCCTACTAAGCAAGGCTGAGGGAGCTGGGCTGCTTAGTCTGAAGAAGGAAAGCCTCTGGAGACACCTCATGGCAGCCTTCCATTACTTAACAGTAGTTTATAAACAGGAGGGAGACTGACTTTTTACAAGGGCAGATAGTGATAGGGCAAGGGGGAAAGGTTTTAAATTAAAAAAAAAAGGAAGTTTAGATTAGTTACTGGGAGGAAATTCTTTACTCAGAAAGTGGTAAGGCAATGGCACAGTCTGCCCAGAGAAGTTGTGGATGCCTCATCCCTGGAGGCATTCAAGGCCAGCTTGTATGAGGCTCTGGACAACCTGATCTGGTGGGTGGTGTCCTGTGCAATGCAGGGGGACTGGAACTAGATGGTCTTTAAGATCCCTTCCAACCCTAGTCATTCTGTGATTCTGTGATAGCCTTCTAGCCTTCATGTGGAGGGCTATCAAGCTGTAGGGAGTTGGCTGGGGTGCAGCTGCTGCTTGGGGAATGCTGGTCTTTGGTTGGCTGGTGTGAGATGTGGTGTTGCTAGTGGGGCATCAGCTGGTGAGCAGTTGTACTGTTAGTTGGGACAATGAATATTTTATAATACTGTAACATGAGTAATAGGCAAATAAGAGGGAGAGATGATCTGCATATTTTGCTGCAAGAGGTCTTCTTTTCCTTATGTAGAGAGCTTGGATCTTGCTAGTCAATCCAATGAACAAAGGTGCCACCTTTCTCCCCTCCTGGGCAGATAATGACACTTCTTACCGTAATGCTGTGTTCTGGAAGGATTTGCTGCCCCGACATTGGTGAGAAGAAGGAGAGGTCTACTTGTTTTGAGCAGTAATAGTTAGATCAGAATTTGTTTGGCTGAGCTTTGTTCAGGATGCAGCAAAAGAGATCAGAAAGAGCATAATGGAAAGCTGGTATTTATGTCTTAGAGGTAAACCAGTTTTCATCATTTGTCACCTTTACAAATTAAAAATTTTCACCTTAAAAATTAAGGCTTTCCATCAAGAAAACTAAAATTTAATTTAGGAAAAATATCAGTGCAAAAGTGACACACAGGTGTTATTGTTCATACGTATTTGTATCACATGTAGCATAGTTAGGCCTTGGAGACCCGAATCTATTGTGTCATGCAAATCCAATAGATCCGACTCCCTGTTGCTATCACAACAACCAGCCTAATGCAACTTTAACAGTACATGCAATTTTGGACTGCTGTCTGGAATGCTTTTCTGTGCCTGCTTGGTATCCCACAGCTGTGCTGTGGACTGGAGGTTGGTTTATTGGTTAAAAGTGAAGCACTGTTGGAAGTTTCAGCGCACCAACAATGTGCTCGAGTTTGCAGACGTTTCCTGCAATCCGGCTGGCTCACTGTTGTTCCTGCTTCCAGGAAGGGTGGTTCTGGGTGAGAGGCGCTGGGTGGATGTTAGTTCCTGATTTCAGACTAGTGCAGCCCAATCTCTTGCTGTATTCCTTGCCCAAAGGGACAAGCTGAAAGATTTCACGTGAGAAGAGAGCGAGCATTTCATGCGTAACTCGTCCTCTCCTGGCTCTGCTCTCTGCAGACCTTGCGCCTGGCCAGGGGTCTGATGGGCTGCTTCTTCCATTTCTCTGTGCATTAAGGTACAAAGATCTGATTTTCCTGAAAGATCGGCTGAACAAGAGTTTCCTTCAATAAAAAGAATCTACCCTCTTGCTGAGACGCTCGATCGCAACACGGGTAATTGCGTTCCCGTGACTCCCAGCAGCCCACCACCGCCCCCCCCCGCAGTAGGCGCCGCAGGGCCAGAGGAGGCGGCGGACTGGTGGCGCGGCGCGCCAAGCCCTCGGCAGCCGGCGATGAGGCGCTGCCCAGCGGTACCGCCCGTTCGCGGGGCGGGGCGCAGGGCGGTGGTGACGCAAGGCGCGGGGAGGTGTTGCTCTCGCGAGAGCGCGGCGGCGCGCGGCCAACGGCGGCCGCTCCCCATAAAAAAGGAGGGACGCCGCCCGGCTTCCATACTGTGCGGCGGCGCGCGAGCTCTGAGGCTGCGGCTGTGACGGCGCGTTTCTCCCGTGGGTGAGTACCGCCCGGCTCTCGTCGGCCGTCCGGGGCAGCGGGAGCCCTCGGCGACCTCGAGGCCGGCTCCGCAACATGGCTGAGCTCGGTGGCTGCCTGCCTGCCGGCCTCGCCGGGAGCTGCGGCTTCCCGCGCCGCGGGGCCGCCCCCGCTGCCTCCGTCATCGCCTCGGCCGCTCTGCTGCTGCTCTGCTGCCCCCGCGGGCGGCGGGAGCCCGTCCGCTGCTCGCTGTGTGCGTCCTGCCTGCTCGGTGAGGGCGATCCGGACCTGCCGCTTGGAGGTGTGCGGGTGCCGGGCTTGCCGCGTGCATCACGTCGGGTTTAGTTCAACCTCTCTGTATTCATTCTGCGTGTTACAGTGAGGCAGCTTGTGAACGGTGTGAGCCTTTAGTGGTGTAACTTGAGTGAGAACCGTACGGATGTTATTGGTGCTTTTTTGCAGTCGTCCAAGTGTTCTCAAGATCTGGGCCACAGTGATGGCTCACATTTCAAGCTTGACTCAATTATGCTAACTGGAATGAGTAAAACTACTCATGACAGATTCTTCATCCTTCTTTCATGCATCCTAAATTAGAGGTTTAGCAAACTGTTAGCTTAAGAACAACTGTGTGGCTTTTCTTCCTAACTGGTTCTACTGTTAGGACAATTATGTGCATTTCCTATAGAAAAATAAACAAACTAATCCATATGTCATAATTTTTTTCACAGTTCTCTGGTGAACTGCTGTACCTAAGTTCCTGTTTCTTGTGTGTCACAGAATCGCAGATTTGCCAGGGCTGGAAATGGCCTCAAAGATCATCCAGTCCAGCCATCCACCTATGACCAATACTTCCCCACTTTACCATGGCTCTTAGCACAACATCCAAGTTCTTGAACACCTCTAGGGACGATGATTCAACCACATCCCTGGGAAGCCCATTCCAGGATCTTGCTACTCTCCAGAAGAAATGTTTCTAATGTGCAATCTGAACCCCTGTGGTGCAACTTGTGCCTATTCCTTCTAGTCCTATTGCTAATTATACTGAAGAAGAGGCTGACTCCCTCCTTGACAGTACTTTCTTTCATGTATTGTGTAGAGAGCTACAAGATCTTCCCTGAGCCACCTCTTTTCCAGGCTAAACATTCCCAGTTCCCTCAGCTGTTCCCCGTAAGACTTGTGCTCCAGACCCTTCCCCAGCTTTGTTGTCCTTCTGTGGGCATGCTCCATGGCTGCAATGTCTTTCGTGTAGTGAGGGGTCCACCAAAACAGCACGGTACTTGAGGTGCAGCCTCATCAGAGCTGGCAGGGGAACGGTCACTTCCCTGCTTCTACTGGCAGCACTGTTTCTGATACATGCCAGGATGCCATTGGCCTTCTTGGCTGTCTGGGCACACTGCTGGCTGTCTTGCTTCAACTGTCAGAAACAAGAAGGTTCATGATATGTATATCCAACATGAGGTTAAGACTCGGAATGAAGTCACATATTTGCCCAACCAGTTTGTTATTAAAATCTTGGTTAGCTAAGCCTGGGGATGGGAAGAGGGATGAAGAAAGTGATAGTAAAAAAGATCATAATTAAAAGCAAGGGCTCATCATATGAATGCAGAGATAACTCCCTCCAGTGTTGTGATGTTCCATGATTCTGGGAACATGCAACACAGGAAAAAGAAGTTTTTGTTTTTGTGGAATCCTTATATATACTGTATAGTCTGGTGCAGGCTTATCAGCATCAGAGAAGCCAAGGGCTCCACATATGGCTGAGCTTCCACATCTTGGGAGTAGCCTGGAATGCGACTGGTGCAAAGACATTCCCCTTATCTTCCTTGTTCCTGACACCCCTGTGTAGGCAGAGCCATCTCCAGTTGTCCTTGCAGTCCACAGTAATCTTTGAGACAAAAGCTTTTTGTATGGTATCTCACACTGGCTCATGTTTTGCCAAGCATCTACCAACACTCTAGGTCCATTTCTTCCATACAGTCTTCCAGTCACTCTGCCCCAAGCCTGTGTCTTACTTGTATTGCCTAACCCAAAGAAAGCACTTAAGAAACAAAGCTTTTGAACTTCAAATTAATTTGAAGTAAAACATAGCTATTGCTTGCAAGAAAGTTTACATCTTTAATCCTCTTTATCTTTGGGATTGATTACAAAGGAATTCTGTCAGTTTGAAAGCCTGGTGTTTAGATAAAGTTGTTTGTGAGGATATGCTAACTCTGATATGCTTTTCTCATAGGCTCTGTAAGATTCAAGACCTGAAAAAATGGCATTAGCAGCAATTGATCCACAACAGGTAAGTTTAAATTAGCCCAGTAGGTTTTTTTTTTTTTCTACTGTCTAGCTTAGAAAAATGAGTAAACTAGTCTCTTTGTTTTAAAACAGAACATTGTGTCGAGGGTAGCAAACCTTCCTTTGGTGAGCTCCACCTATGATATGGTGTCTACAGCCTACATCACCACAAAGGATAACCATCCCTATTTGAAGTCAGTATGTGAGATAGCAGAGAAAGGAGTGAAGACAATTACTTCAGTAGCCATGACTAGTGCTATGCCTATCATCCAGAAACTGGAACCACAAAGTAAGGCTAATATGGGGTTGCTGATAACTTTAATTCAGCTGATTGTTTTTTTATATCCAGATGTGCTTACAGTTAAGCATGGATGTGCTGGTTTGGAGCTGACTGAACCTGTTGTACTGCTTGTTGAATAACTGATGTAACTGATTACATGATGGGTATGATTTTGGGAGGGGGAATTCCAAATGCTAAGCAAATTCAAGCTTTTATAATGCTGAACTGACTGGCTCCTCTTGAGTTGCAGGGTGGTGAAGTAGTCTCTTGCTCAACATTTTCCTCACCTTTCACCTGTTTTCAAGTGCTACTTTGTACTTTCTCTCAAGAGAACAACTTGTGACACAGTTCCCAAGTTTAAACACAAGGCTGTTGTAACCAGGACCCTTAGTTTCCTAATTCTGGCAGAAGGCCCTATGCCTCAGCTTGTTACAACAGCTGCTTGTAAGGTCTAAGAAAAGACTTTGTGTCAGCAAGCGAACTTGCTTAGGGCATGGTAAAAGCTGTCTTCTTTTTGAGGCTTAGCTGCCTCATATCTCACTGAAAGGGGGGGAGAAGCTATTTTGTGTGTGCTGTTGTGTGAGCTCCATTTCAAGAAGAAATATCAGCTGGAATTATGACAAACTGAAACCTTAAATCAACTGTTATTTTTTCTATAGTTGTGGTTGCCAACAACTATGCATGTATAGGTCTTGATAAAATTGAAGAGAGACTTCCTATACTGAATCAACCCACTGATAAGGTAAGTCCTTTCCATGTTTATATACCAAGCAGAAGAGCATGTATATTGATTGTAGTTTCTGCTATTTCTAAAAATGCAAGGAGGAGAGTTTATATAAACAGCACTCATCTCCTCATGGCTTCTAATCTGTGAAGTAAAGTGTGTTTCTATACAACACCTTCTTGCTTTTGGAAGGTCACTGAGCTTTGTTTTCATTTTTTTGTTTTCCTTAAAAGACGTTAGCCCGCTATTTGACATAGGTGTAGCTACTCTTCGCTGGTGGGCATCTTTTTTTTTTTTTTTTTTTTTGAGTATTTTTTTCCTGTGCAATATGAAGAGGATGTGTAATTTACATTACTGAAGAGTTTTGAGCTAAAGGCTGCATGGTAGTCACTTTTTTTTTTGTCTCATCTGTATGCTTTTAATGCAGTTTATTCTTAGGTAACTGAGAATGGTAAAAGTTTTAGTATAATTGTTTCTGGAGTAATGTAGCTCTCCCTAGCAAATTTTATTTCTTTTTGTGAACTAACATATTTTCTTTGGCAGGTTGTTGCCAATGCTAAGGATGTAGTTGTTGGAGCCAGAGAAGCTGTAACAACCACTATGACTGGTGCCAAGGAAACTGTTACTCACAAAATCACTGGAGTTGTGGGCAAGACTAAAGAAGCAGTGCAAGACAGTGTAGAAATGACTAAGTCTGTTGTCAATGGTGGCATCAACACTGTCTTGGGAAGTCGTGTGGTGCAGATGATGAGCAGTGGAATGGACAGTGCTCTCACTAAATCAGAGACCCTTGTAGACCAGTATCTCCCACTAACAGAAGCAGAACTAGGTAAGACCATTTCAAGATTTAATTTTGTTGGTATACTTTATACTGAAGAAAAAATAAGCAATCATCTGCTTACTAGTTGTTTGTAATGGAGAGGGGGGCAGTGCTTTCCAAACTGCCTTGTTGATAGATAGTCAAGCAGAATGGATGTTAGGTCCCTATACTTTAGAATTCTATCAACTAAATCTCTAATTAAGACTGTGAGCAAGTCTGGAAGTCCAGTAATCAGTTGTTACTAAGCAAACAAAGTTATCTTGCTAATTTAAAGCTTTCTTCCACTGGTCAATCTGCTTCCTTCCCAATTACCAGAAAGAGAAGCTGCGAAAGTTGAAGGTTTTGAAGTTGGAGTCCAAAAGCCAAGTTATTATGTTCGACTAGGATCTCTGTCTTCAAAGTTCCGTGCACGTGCCTACCAACAAGCCTTAAACAAAGTGAGAGATGCTAAACAGAAAAGCCAGGAGACAATTTCTCAGCTGCACAACACTGTTAGTCTGGTAAGTTTAAGCTTTTGCTTTAAGTATAAAATGGAAATGTAAGTGTTAGAGTACCGACAAAAAGTGACCTGGGAAAATGGGATTGCTCCCTCATTAAGTGCATTTTCAAAATATTAAGAACTTCATACTTAGTGCTTTTCACAACCAGACAGGAGAGGTCCTACGTCAAACTGATCTGCAGACAAACTACCAGTTGCTTTTAATTTTGAACACTGCAGAAATAGAAATAACATGTTAAAAAAATATATTACTGTTTTGATTACAACTTAGTGAAGGTAATGTCTTGCAATTTGGAAACACTTCAGTGTGCTTTAACTAATTCCTCTATATTAAAAAAAGTAGGATGCTTCATGGGCTTGCTTTTCTTGCTGTGGGTGTTTAAGCATTTCTGGGTACTTCAGTAATCTGATCTACATACCTTTATGTACAACAGGAATTGTACATAAAGTTATGGCCTCCTATGTACTTCCAATTCCTTTGTGTAGGAAGTTAGTGGGGGACTGTAAAATAGTTCAGGTAGAGAGAGAAATAAACTGCTTCTAGTTTTCTAGTTTTCTCTTTGAAGAGAAGCAGTGTGCTACATTCCCCAAAGTCATTTATCCTGAACTTCAGATGCTCAAAGGGTTACAAAGCCCTAATGAAACTGTTTTGGACTCTTTCTTTACTTCCTTGTTTGGCTGTATTTCAGATCGAGTATGCCAGAAAGAACATGAATAGTGCCAATCAGAAACTTCTTGGTGCTCAGGAAAAGCTTTATCAATCCTGGGTAGAATGGAAGAAAAATACAGGTCAAAATGATGGTGATGAATCGCATAGTGCTGAGGTAAATAGTTGTAAATGTAAACTAGAATTAAATGCATTGCATACTGTCAAGGTGATATTGGCAAACTAACAGTCTGTATAGTGCACAACATCTTAGCAACACAGAATACTTATGAGCAAATGTGGACTCTGAATACTTAAGCCCAGGACAACTGCTAGTGATTACTATGATATATAGGGGACATCCTGACTCATAAACAAGCCTACTTTTCTGCAACCACTACTGGATTCATTGTCTTTTCAAAAGAATAGTCATCCTGCTCAACATATGAGCTTGTTTAGATATCTGTACCTAGATCAGCTAGGATTCTCTTATATGGCTAGACCAGAAATAGCAGTTTGTTAGTATAAAGCAGTTTGAGGAAGAGAGTCATGTGTAGCTTTGAACAGTGACTCATTAACTATAATATATTTACTTACTATCATTTCTTATCCAGAGATGAAATGAGCTTGCTTATCTTTTGCTAGGAAGAAGCTGTCAGTGTTTCTGTTCCACAAAGTACTTGAGCAATAAAGAAATCAAGTACTTTCAAGTTATCTCTGACTCTTCATTCTTAAACATTATTACATTATCTTCTACATCTTTTGCCCTTTTTGTTCTCCCTTGTCTCTTGAGCAACATGAAGCTAGTTATAGTCATTAAAAATATACTGATGGGCTGTCATGCTTTTATTTCTAGCACATTGAATCAAGAACTCTAGCTATTGCGCAGAGTCTCACTCAGCAGCTTCAGACCACCTGCCTCACACTGGTTACAAGCATACAGGGGCTGCCACAGAGTGTGCAGGATCAGGTTTACAGTGTTCGCTCAATGGCTGGTGATGTCTACGAAATCTTCCGATCAGCATCCTCCTTCCAGGAACTATCAGACAGCTTTCTTACTACTAGCAAAGGACAGCTGAAGAAAATGAAGGAGTCTCTGGATGATATGATGGATTATCTTGTTAACAACACACCGCTCAACTGGCTGGTAGGTCCCTTTTACCCACAACTGCCTGGCCCTCAGCATGCTGAGAAGGAAGGTGAAGGGGAGAAAAATTCCAGCCAGAAAGACAAACAGCTTGAACATAATGTTGAGTAAATTGCACAGCATATATGTACCCTGCAGACTGGCCAAACAAGTGATGTTTAACAACTGTAGCTGTCAAAAAGCCTTGGAGAAAAAACTTGGAGTGGTGAGAAGAGACTCTCCCACAAATGAGTTGTAAAGCTATTCTAAAACAGACATGTGATTAAGTGCCTAAGAATTGGCAGCTTACAGTTGTCAGAATGCCTTGTTTGTCTGTAAAGTCAAGAAACCTCACCTTGCTTATTAATGGTACTAATTGTTCTATTCTAAATTAGATAAATTGCAATTAAAAGCACTTCATTTGTTGTTTAATTTCTTATCAGAATAATCTCAGAATGGCTTGGGTTAGAAAAGTCTTCAAGGATCATCAGGTTGCAAGCCCCTTGCTGCAGGAAGGGTTGCCAACTGCTAGGTCAAGCACTAGGCGAGGTTGCCCAGGTCCTATCCAGCCTGGCCTTGAATGCCTCCAGGGATGGGCCATCAGCAACCTCTGGACAACCTGTTCCAGGGTCTCACCCACCTTCTAAGCAGAAAAACTTCCCCTGACATCTAATCTAAATCTTCCTTCCTTTAGTTTGAAACCATTCCCCCTTATCCTATTGCTATCTGACAATGTTTTTTTTTTTTATAAAAAAAAAGAGTTAAAATATCTCTTCTGTTTATAATCCCCCTTTAAGTATTGGTAGGCCATAACAAAGTCTCCCCACAGCCGCAAGCCCAGCTCCTTCAGCCTCTCTCCATATTAGAGGTGCTCCAACCTTCTGATCATCCTTGTGGCTCTCCCCAGACCCTCTCCAAAAGCTCAGTATTTTCTCTGTGCTGGTGGCCCCAGACCTGGATGCAGTACTCCAGATGGGGCCTCATAAGGGTGGAGTAGAGAGGGATGCTCACCTCCCTCACCCAGCTGGCCACCTCTCTTCTGATGTAGCCCAGGGTACTGTTGGCCTTCAAGTGCTTGCTGTTGGCTCACGTTAAATTTTCTCATCTACCAGGGCTACTCTCAAGAAGCTTTCCCACACTGTATATGTATCTGGGAATGCTTTGTTATACTTCACTGGGGCCTGCCTTTCAATTTTATCAAGGTCCCTTTGGATGTCATCCCTTCGTACTACCATATCAACTGCACCACACAGCTTGGTGCCATCAGCAAACTTGCTGAGGGTGCACTTGATCCAATCATCTATGTCATTGATAAAGACTTTAATAGGTACTTGTACCAAGACATACCCTTGGGGTATGCCGCTCATTGCTGGCCTCCAGCTGGACACAGAGCCATTGGCCATAATTCTCTAGCTGTCGCCTTCCAGCCACGTCCCTATCTAGAAAATAGTCCATCTTTCAAATTCATATCTCTCCAATTTAGAGATAAGGATATGATGGGAAACCATGTCAAAGGCCTTGCAGAAGCCCAGTATATAATAGCCTTATGTGCTATGAAATGCATTTAAGCTAAGTGTACTTAAATTCTGTATTTGCTGCAGATTATGCATTTGATTATTATTTTGTATCTGGCTGTCTTAAATGAACTGCTACCTAATTCATGAAAATAAGTGCAGAAATCCATAGCAGAAAGTGGGGTTTCTGACTGAGTCAGCTGGAGTTACTTAAATGCTGTGCCAGTGCTCTTACTAACAGTACAATTGTATTACAAAGCAACTTGACTAAATCATTATCAAAGTGTATTTTTCTTAACACAGTATAAAGACAAGATTCATGCTGTTTGTACCCAGCTGCCTGCTGTTGTATGCTTTTTTTGTAGCCAACTTTTTGTAATTCATTTTGTACCTTAGTAATAAATGCTTCAGCAGCCAAAGTCTGTCTCCATTTGAATGGTGTGCAAAACATGTAACTTGCTGTTCTGTGACTCTTTCATGCTGGGTCTGAGAGAAAGCAAGCTTGCAATGCAAAAGTAGACATTAAAAACGTGTTTGTGTGTGTCTGTGTATAGATAAGTAATGTCTTCCTTCCTCCTTTTGAGTTCTTGTGTACTCTTCCATTCAGTCTTCGCTTTACTGCTGCATTTTTTTGGTGCTTACTGTTAATGATCTCGCCTGTGAACTTGCAGATGGTCTTACAGTGACTAAGAAGGGTATAGACAAAAGTCAACATTCTTTTCCATTTGGGTGTTCTCTGAGTATGAAACTCCCATCTGCCTGCTTTGGCTGCTGGCTCCCTATAGCCAGTATAAATTATTTCTTTAACTTTACATACCCTCTTTTGAACTTGACTGATATGAATTTAACACTCAAGACTTTGGAGTTGTTCACCAGTAAGTATTGTGATTCCTTGCTCTGGAAGGGAATTACTGTTACTCAGAAATAAGATGCCGTGGTTTAGAGCTCTCCAGGTAAATCTGGTGCTCTGTGCATTGCAATCATTTAATGTAGCAGCGATGGTCTTTTCAAAGAGATCATCAAATAGTGTGATGCAAAGCAGGAGTTCAAGGAAGCCTGTCCCCTTGTCAAAGATGCATTTTAGGTGGCATGTTTATACATGAAGCAATACCTCCTTCCTGGTACGGTTGTGAGCACTGAAACAAGTTATATACACTCTGGCCTTCTTATGGGAATGGATTAGAACTTTTGGAATGTTTAAAAAAATAAACACAATTGTAATGACAGAGGACTATAGATCAGGATTCCAGAATTTCCAGCCTTAAATACTTGCTATTTGCATGGGGAATTTTTAACTCTAAGTTAATATGAGGCAGCAAGATATCTTTCCATCTAGAACCTGAATTAAGGTTGTAATTCTTGTAATTCTTTCAGCGATTAATTCTGTTTTAAGTACTGACCAAGTTCTTTTTAATCTCTGTTTGTAATAAGAGTTATAAGATGCACCCTTTGTAGCAGTGCTTTGAAGGAGAGTGGGGCTAATCAGGTTTGCAAGCAGCTGTTCATTCAATGAAGGGAATCTCCATTTTTATGCATGTTTTTTAAAGCTCAGATATGGCTATGGACCTTCATACTGAAAAGACGAATCAAATAAGATATATAAATGTCTCACTGTCTAAAGAGTGAGAAATTAACAGTAGTAATTGATATTACTGCAACAGTAATATCTTTCTGTTCTGCCTTAAGTTGCACTTAGGATCATACTCTTTAAGAGGGTTATCTAGCCTTACTAATGATCAGCAAGAAGACAAAATAGAAAGCAAAGAAAAAATTTCCCTGTCAAGTCCTGAGAAATGTTCATCTCACTGTGTATTGTTGTGTGGCTTCTGCGTAAGTTATTTTGACTTTTTATAGCTGAGCAACAACAGGTGTTCACAAACAGAGGAATGATTGGTTAAATAGTTATATAATTTTTTATACATATATATTTTATATATATATATATATATATTTATATAATGTCTGAGCTGACAGTATTTTGTTCCAAAACACTGTACAAAAACTTTGCATCATTCTACTTTGGTTTCTTTTTTAACTTGCTTAGAAAGCAAGTGTACAGAATATTAAGGAATTAGAAATCCTTGTTGGTGAAAGAGAAGGCTAAGTAATGGTGAATTAATATGATCCTGATTTATTATAACAAATGCAAACCCTTGGATTTAAATTATTAGTTTTTTCCTAATGAGGAAAGCACTGGGTGCTTGAACTGAACTGCAACACTAATTTGTGTGGATATATTCTTGCTGGTAATCTTAGATAGTTTATCCTTGGACTCCATTGTAATTACAATACTCAGAATAAAATTTTCTGACTTTTTCTAGCACAGCTTGAAAGAATGTCTACTAAAATGCCCACTAGAGTTAAGGATGACAGAGATATCTTCCGAAGTCATATGTTTTTGCAGCAGTATATGAAAACCTATGGACTGAAAGTGATTGATGTTCTAATAACTGCTGAAAACTCAAATGGAAGGAGGAAAGCCTAAAACATTAACAAGAGCCTGCTCATAAATTGCCCCTGTAATTTTACTTGTTTCTTAATTATTGCATATATCAAACAGTTCAGATATACTAATGTAGAATCATCAACTTAGTATACTTTTAGTTCAAAATACATGAGGGTTTTGTTTGGGCTAGAGAGCTCTGATATTTTACAGATCCATGGAATTCCTTGAGTTGGAAGAGACCTCGGAATCTTGTTCCATTCATGCTAGTAGAAACTTCCCTTTTCACTTGCCATTGTTGCTTATTGTCATTGGCTGAAAAGTATTACATGCAAGCATTCATAAAAAAACCTCCACATAGTATGAAAGCTTCACAAGCATGTCCATGGCAGCATATGTTCTAGCAAAATCCAAATTACAACATTTGTGTAAGCAATAGACTTGCCTCAAACTGGAAGGGGAAAAAAAAAAAAAAAGGTGGAGGTGGAAAGCTCTTGAAATCTCTTCAATTCTGTAGATCATGACTTTTTGTAGTATTTCCTAAACTGAAGCTTATAGTAATACGATGGAGCTAGTGAAATAGTGAAAGAATTTAGGAACAACTGATAGATCATTTCTGCATTTTAAAAATAAACAGCTCTTTAGTCAAAACAAAAAAATAATCTCAAACCATCCAAAATAACCCTCCTCTAAGGCAGCTGATTAAAAAGAGACACAAAAAAAGAAAGTTGAACTTAATTTTGTTACTTTTTGAGCGTGATCTGTTCTTTATTTGCATAATCAGCAAATAGTAAATGTACAGCTTGCTGGTGGTGTCGTGCATTGTTTTGTTAAAGTTTTGTTAAATTACTTGGACAGAAAATAGATCTCTTTTGGATAATACAGTCTCTGATGACTAAAGACAAGTTCTTGTTTTGAAAGCAAACAATAATTACCTCTCAAATTGCTGGTGGCTCAGCTCTAAAAAAAAAAAAAAAGAAGAAAGCAAGAAAAAGAAGATATGAGTTCAAAATCAAGTTAATATTGACATTAGCATTTGGTTTCTAAGAGAGCAAAACTGCTGAAGTATGTTTTGCATAATTTCATACAAGGATTCTGTAAGCTTTGTGCTAGTCCATATAAGAAGATCCAAAAATCTTATGGAGGATGATATGAAGAAGGGTCCTATCTGACCTAATTCTTTGTTGCATACATTGACTTACTAGTTTGTTCCAACTTCTTATCAACTATGAAATGAGAGTATAATTAAACACAAAAGTGAGATGAAAGTGAAGGTCCTTTACCTAAGCAAGCCTGTAACATCAGGAATTTGCACCTCTTTGGCTACACTGATGCAGATAGTAATGTGTTCTCTTTTAAAATAATTTAGCATGTTCAAAACTGAGATAAATTATACTGAGACAAGCCCTGTTTTGCTGTACCAATACACTCCCGTTTAAAATTGTTTCATGGCTGTGAACATCCTACATTAATGGGGTTAACTGCTTATAGCATATGTGGTAAGAAAATTAAGAAAACACCAACTTCAGTCAGAGAGGTTGATTACCCTATGATCAATAGGATCAACATGGTCAGAAATAATAGAAGTATCATGTTCCTAGGTTACAGAGAAAATTATCACTGATCAGACAGTCACTGAGCGTGGTGATATGCCCTACTCATTCTAAATACAGAATCGTGGAGTGGTTTGGATGGGAGGGACTTCCAGTTCGAACCCTTGCTGTGGGCAGAACACTTCCCACTAGATCAGGCTGCACAAGGCCCCATCCAGCCTTTTAAGCTCTATTCCATGTCTACTATAAAATCCTGTCTTCTAAGCAACTGGTTTATAGCTTACATAATATTTGGCCTTGATACCACACGTTTGTGACTGAACATATTTAACTCTGTATTGAGTATTTTGGGTCTGATTTCAAGAAATGCTTCTTCGTCTCTTGATTTCAGTCAGGAGTACTACAACATTTATTTAGTTCTACCCTTGTATTTATTTGAATTTTGTTCCTATGCAGGTTCCAGATTTCACTATTACAGACCTGTCTTCAGAGTCAGATGATATCCCAGACATCTTGGATTTGGACGAAGAAGATCAACAAGACTTTTCACGCACAAATGGCCCATATACTACAGGGCAAAGAGCTGAATGAAGAGAATCAGGAAAATGTATTTTTGATACATTGTATTTTTGCCATGTTTAACTTATATTTCTCCTTTCAAAAGTCAAATCTACCTAGCTTTGGACTTTTTTTTTTTTTTTTTTTTTTAAATCAGAGCCATTTCTTCTAGCTGCATCAAAACTTATTATTCTTTCTAAGGACTACATACTAAACTGATTCATTAGCTTTTGTGTCAAGCTCCTGTTCTACAAGCCAGGTATAGCCTAATGAGCATATCCAATGTTCTAGTATTTGTTAATTATTTGTCTAGCTGCTTGTTTTCCAGTTGGCAACAGCCAAGAGAACACCCCAGTGCTTTGCATAAAGGGCTGCCAACAAAAGGAGTTTATGAGGATTTGCCCCACAGCTTATCCTTCCAGTCTTCCCCAAAAGGCTCTTCTGCATCTACCTCTTTGCTGCTGGGAGGGGCAGGAGACTTGGGCCATCTCAGATTCTCTCAGGTTGATTTTTCTGGGCTCTGTGCCCTAACAGCATAGAGATGGGTCCCTTTGTCATGGGTGCTTTGTGTACAACAGGATGTTCCTTCTTTCTGCTTTGCCTCCTGCGTGCAAGAATGCTGACCTTCCTGATGCTCACTGTTGTGAAGCCTCAGCAGGAGATGGTAAATGCTTAAAAAGGGAGTGGAGCAGGAGTAAGGATGGCAGCTGGAAACGGAGGGGGAAGATACTAGGAAGCGAGAGGGAATAGAGAAGGGTAAGGTAGAAGCAGATTTATGATAAGAAAAAGGTGAAAAAAAAAAGTCAAGAAAGCAAATTGAAGGTAGGGGTGTTTCTGTTGTCAGTCTTTTCACGATTAAACAAACTCTGGGTTAACTACTTGCTAGGAAATGCCGAAGCCGCGCTGATGAGCACACAGCGCTTCTGAGCGAGCGGTGCCGGGCGGACGCCGCTCGCTGCGCTTCTCTGGGGATCACAACCGCGCCTGGGCGCGGGGCCGCGCGGCGGCAGGGGCAGCGCGCCTGGGGATGGGCCCCGCACCGCCTCCCCGGCCGCGTCCGGCCACAGAAATGCCTTGAAATAAAAGTCTGAACTACACAGCCTGCTGTATGTGCGAGTTTTACTTGGTTTTCGCGGTGAGGTTATTCGATCACCTAAGCCAGGGAGGCCCCGATAGGCCAGCCGGGCCTTCAGGCCCGCCGCTGTTACCTCCGCCGTACGCCCTCTGCGGGCCCGCGGCACGGCCGCGGCTGGACCCTTCTGCGCATGCGCCGCACCTCCCGGCTGTTCCCGCACTCCGGTTCCCAGTATGCAGCGCGCCAAACAGGCTCGGAGCTCGGCGTCACCACGGGCTGTACTTGGCTCGATCCTGTCCAATCAGCGCCCGCGCGCGATCTCGCGGCTCCGCGGCGCGGCGAGTTCGGGCGGGAAGCGGGAAGTGGCGGCGCGGCGTCCGTTGGGGTAGGCGGCCGCGGCCCGGCGTCCGTTCTGTTCGCTCCTTAAGCGAAAGGTGTTCCGGCGGCTTCCAGGCGCCATGGACGCGGCGTGGAATTGGGAGAGGGAGCATCTCTGGCTCTACCTTTTGGCGCTGGGCTTCGATCCGAAGGCTGCCGAAAGAGCTTCGGGCATCAAACTGCACCTGGGACCGTAAGGCCGGGGGAGCGCCGGGGCGGAGGAGGGCGCGGCGGGCATCCAGGGGGGGCCTGGGTGGTGCGTGGCGCGGAGGCGTCAGGGTTCCTACAGTATTTAAGTTATAATTCGTAATGCTTCAACATAAAACAACGTTCTGCGTTCCTCTCAAGTGACGGGTTAAACGCTCTGTAAGCTTGGCTGCTTTGCTCCTCGTCATGTGTCTGTGTGTGTTTTTAGGGCTGTATTTGATAAGCCGAACTACAGAGCCTTCCGCGTTATTGCCCAGTTCTTGTTCACTAAGCTGGACAAGAAGCAGGCAGAAAACACCTTCAGGTGAGTGGCGCGTTCAGCGTTCAGTGCGTGCTGTGCACGTCATATGGAATGTGGTGTAGCAGTTAGTGAGGGGAAGAAGCAATCTCTTGCGGAATACTGTGTGAAAATGACATGCTTTCAGTGGATTTGTTTCCCCTTTATCTATAGTCTGTGAACTTACCTTAGATACAGTGGCTGTACTTTGGTAAGCTTAGAAAATGTTTCTGCAGAAGCAAAGTAATCTGTCTCTGCCTTTTGTTTTCCACACCAAACACTGAGTAATTTCTCCCAGTTTAGAGATTGCTGCTGAAAATCTTCAGTGTGATGAGAATCCCATCTTCATGTTTTCTGATATGACAGAACTGCTTTAGCTTACCCCTTAAACTGTGGGGGGAAGATTGCTGTTACAAAAGCTGTCAGCCTTCAGGCTGCTTTTTCTGAGTCTGAAACAAGTACAGACAAATCTCTCTCTGAAAAAAGTCCATAATTCTCACATCAAGAAAAATCTTGTTATTTAATAAACTTCTTGCTCGTTTTGGTCTGGGCATCAGGCATCATTCTTGGAAGGCATCACAGATAAAACTTTGTATATAACATTTGAGCAGTGTAACTGAATACTTGAAAATATATTAAAGTATATTTTTTCCTCTCTCCTATTGCCTTTTTAAAATGGAAAGAAACTGTGAGCTTCCAGCTGTAAAAACTGCAGATTCTGAATTCAGGAAACTGTGCAGCTCATGGCTAAAAGAAATTTCAGTAAGTGTTAAGAGGAGTGGAAACTAATTGTCTGTCGGTTTCTCTGACATCCTTTTTCCTTTGTTGTTTGTTCTGAAAGAACATAACTGAGTTTTAAATCAAAGGAATAGGCTTTAACTGATACATTATTTCATGTAGTGTATGATATCCTTCCTCAGTAAAAGGTGTGTTATGACAGAGATTGAATCTTGGATCCAAAAGCTGCTATGTATTTCTTCTGGTTGATCATATTTGATGGTTATGGAATCACAGAATATCCTGTGTTCGAAGAGATCCAAAAGCCCATATGATGCTTGTATGGATGAGGCTACAGAGGTTGTTCTGAAAGTACTGCCTCCTGCTTATTTCCTTGGAAACTAGAACAGGTAGAAAGAGCACAAGAGACTAATAACTTCAGAGCAGCCCTGGTAATTAGCTCTAACTTGGGAGATACTTGATAAAAATTAAATTAAAAGGTATTTTTTATTGTAAAAGTACTTCAAAATACTTTAAAAACTTAAGATTGCTCTGTACATACAGGGAAACTTGACTGTAAAGTTTAAGGGCATTGTTCTAAAGAGACAAAATTTCTTGTTTTAGATATCATTGACTTATTAAGTCTTCTTGTGCTGCATTTTTTTAAATAGGAGATCTAGAAATCTTTGTGTATTCAAGCACTTTTCATTTTGAGTAATGGTGGGCAAGATGAAACCTGCCTATACAAAAAAAACCTTAGTAAGGTCAAAGTAGAACAAATTACACAGATAAGTTATCTCAGCAGAAAGCGTGAAGGAAAGCCTGAATGTTATTGTAAGGTAGAGATTACTGGTAGGAATGGGGAGTGCAGAAATTTCTGGCATTTACTTTACACTAGACTTTGCCTTGAAACTCTTTTTTTTTGTATGGAACTAAGGGTTGTGGAAAAATGTTCAGAAAATTTTAGTCTCTTTCTTGGACTAGAATAATAATCAGATATAGTGACAAAGCAGATTAGGTTTTCATTGGACTTGCAAGCAAGTAGGATGCAATGCTTCTGTGCTCTTTGTACAAAAATGTTTGGTGGCTGCTTATAGCTATTATTTTTTTGGCTAATTGTGTGTTTAAAATCAACTTCACATCTAGAATCAAGAGGGAAGTGGTGTTCCTCAAGTTGGAGCTTCTTTGTTTCTTTCGCCTACTGGTCATAAATTTATTCATCTAATGTATCAGTTTGCAAGATATGTAGTAGTTGAGAATCTGAGAAAGAGCTCTGCAGGTAAGTTGTCATGGAACAGTAACATTATTTCATTTATCATTGACAATTAATGTCTGAAGTCCTGAATGTATGCAAAAAGCTGAAAGTAGGTCTGTGTTGGTTGCTTAGCTCAAGATCTTTCACAAAGTTGCTGTGTGCTTGCATAGAACTCATAGAACAATGCAGACTGTGTGGCTTACTGTTACTTTGCAGATCTTGGTCCTGGGTTCATGTGTGTAATGTTGACTGTGCATGCACATAATGATTTACTCCAAAAGTTTTTTTTTTTTATCATGTACTCTTTTTAACAATTTGAGGGATTCTGAAGGATCTAGACTATCTGTTCTAGGCATTTTGTGTTTTCTTGGCATAAAGAACAGGAAAAAGGTGTGAGAGGGAAGGAGTGAAAATGTACACAATGGAGAAAGCTGTCAAAAAAGATAGTATACTGCATAACCTGCTTCATTTCAGGTAAAATAGGCAACCTTACGTGTGGTTCTCTTAATTAAAACTAGGGTGACTAGGAATTTATCTGTTTTGTAAAAGTGAATAATACAATCCAAATTTTAATTTTCTTTTAGACAGTGACATACCTTTTGTTAAAGCTGTACGCTTCAGTTCCAAGGCTACGCATGAGGCAGGTGAAAGATGCAGAGTGGCACGTAATGAACTTCTGCAGATTTTACTGAGGAAGGATTATATCATCCGAAAATATGAGAAAACATCCCAGTGAGTAATGTGTTTAAAGAAACAGTATTTTCATAACAGCTTACTTTTTGTGTGTGCTTTTGAAAGGATTTGAGCAGGATGTATCTCACTTCCTTTGTGAGTTGTGCTGAATTCATTACTTTGCTCCCCATTTGCCTCCTTTAATTAATTAATTTTAACATACTATTTGTAGGAAATTACTTCTTCAGTTAGGAGATGCTGTATATTGGACGATGCAACTACCTGGTCACTGAGAATATGGAATTCTGCACGTGTAGCACTATTTGAAGGGTCTTACATGGGTAGATAATGGTTTCAGGATATAATGTGAAGTCTTTGCTTTGTGGTGTAGGATACATTTTATTTGTGTAACTCTTAGTTAATTCATCAAAATTTGCTGTTCTTTCTTTATCTCATATCAGAAATATTTTTTTCAATTTTGTGTGGTGCTGTGTGGAGACACGAGTTGGGCTCAATGATCCTTGGGGGTCCCTTTTAACTTGGGATATTCAATGATTTATTCGTTGAAAATTGGTCCTGGTTTGGTTAGAAATAATAATTAACTCTGTATACAGGCATAGAGTAGATTTTCATTGGAATTTACATAATTTAGGCGAGATACTTCACATGATTGGAGAGGTGTAGTGGGCAGTTGCAAGTTTTTTAGGAAAGAGCAGAAAAGGTGGAGGGATTGCAGTGTAGGTAAATAGAAGTTTCAGTGCATGGAGCTTAATTATATAAAAGGAGACCAGTCTGTTTCATGCCTTTGGATCAGAATCGGAGATGTCACCACGAAGAGTGGTGTGTTACATTCCTTGATTAGGGAAAGTTGATAAAGCCTTCTTCAGACAGATCAAACACATTTCAGGCCTGCAGACCTCAATTCATACTGATGACTTCAGTTTATGCTGGAAAGGCCATGCAGTGGTGCATAAGCAATCTAGGCAACTTCTGTACTGCACGGAGGATGACTTTAATGCAGTCACTGGGTGTGCTGAGTAGAAATTATTTTGGACTGACTGACTTAAGGGAAACTTGTCTGAAGGCATAACTGTCAACAGGAGCTTTATCATCAGCACAGCCAAGATCACAGAATATAAGATCCAAGGGAATGTGAAGAAGACAACTAGAATTGAAAAGGCACTGAAGTTAACAGCTGCCAAGTGGAAATCTGCTCTTATGAGGTATTTTTTGGAAGGCAGGTGAACTGAGAGGTTCCGGGATATTCTCAGAGAAACCGTTGTTGAAGTTCAGAAATGGTCCATCCTGTTACCTGGAAGTAAAAAAAAGCATACACTACAGGAAACCTACCTTTTGAAATGGTGAGCTACTGTTAAAATTCAGAGGTTAATAAGTAGCAAAAAGGGTGACTGTGTTCCAGGTAACGATATAGAAATACCTTTCAGGTGTGCAGCAATACATTTAAACCACCCAAAGAGTGGTAATGCCTCAAAGTCTAACTAGCAGCTGGTCATGACTGGAATTCCTATAGAGTTGATACTGGATTATTCCTTGTTTCTGGAGTTGGTCTTGACTTTACATTATTCTTTACTTTTATAAAGAGTCTGGATGACTGGGATGAGTGCAATCAGCAGATTTGCAGGTGATGCCTTATGAAAAAAGTTAGGTATGCTAGAACAAAAACAGGTCATGCTGGATTTGATCCACAAGAACTGTATGAGGTTTAATGAAGTTGAATGTGAAATTTGGGATTGAACAGTCCTAAGCAGCCAGTTGAGTTGGTGAATTACTGACAGGAAAGCAACTCTGCCAAAAGCAACCAGCAGTGAGGATTTCGTTGATCTGCAACCTGAGCATGAGCCTGTAGTGTGCTCTGGCAGCAGAGGTAACCAGTAACATTCTGTATGTAAAAGGAGTACAGGCAGCAGAACATAGGATGGATTTATTTCACTCTGGTTTGCACTACTTATACTGTACCTGGAATACTGTGTTCAGTTTTGGTACCTCCCATTGAAGGGGGATGTTGAAAACTAGGGAGATTCTTGAACAGAACCTCCATGCTTAGAAGTTTTGAAAACTTGACATATGAGGAAAAGTTGTAGTTGGGTTTATTTAATCACCATGATCTCTTTCACTGTGTTTTGGGGTGTAATCATACTTTTCCTATATCTAAAGGGTAGTTAAAGAAGAGATGGAGGTGAGTGAATAAAATTCTGGAAGCAGCAAAGCGAAAGTCTGGAATTTTGAAAATCCGTGGTAAGGTGACTGTAATTTTTTTTCCTTAGGCGTTTAATTAAAGAAATAAAACAAATGAAATCTGAATATGCGCACCTCCAGCAACAATTGCAGAAGTAAGTATTTCTCCTTGGAACTACATTAGATAAATAATTTTTCTAATTAATTTATATGAAACATTATTGACTTCAAATTTACTGTAATCCGCTTGAACTTTTGTTTGCATTTGCATATAGGATGAAATCAAAGGAACGAAACAATAGAGACAGTGCTGAGAGAATTCAAAAGGTGAGCCTTTGCCCTTTTCTGCCTCTTCCACTGCCTTGTCCCACCTCTTCTCCCCCCTTTCGTGGCAGATGATCACCATATTTGTAACATTTGTATAATATTTATTGTCATACTGGTATTTCTACTTGTTTACCTATGATTATGCTGCCTAGCCATCTCATCTGCCTGTGTGGTATTTTGTTATTGTGTTATAGTATTATGAAAGGAGTGTTAACATAAAATTGTTGTCCTTCTTTATCATTAAGGTTCGTAGTATGTGGACATTGATAATGGAAACTTTTACATCTCTGAAAAAGGAAATGGAAATTGTAGACTCTGTATGTGAAGGTCGTGTTGATCAGTACGTTTTCGATGGAACTAACGTTGTTGTCAGTGTCCCACCTCTGTTGGTTGACAAAGTTGAAAATGCAACACAAGAAGTAAGTAATTTTTGTCCATGCTAAACTGTTTTGCTTTTTTTTTTTTTGTCCCCAAGAGTGCAGTTAGGTACTTTAGAATTAAATACCTTTCACAGATGATAAAGATAGTTGCAAGGGTAAACAAAACATGTAAAATGATTGTAAAACTTTGTATGATTATGCTGCTGTTCTGTATTGGTAGTTTTTGAATTATTTTCTTCTGAAGTTTGAAATGCAGTAACTGAGTTGCTAAGTTTGTCTAGTCAATACTTGAATTTTTGCCTAACTGCAACTATAAAACTGAGTTTGTCATTTAAACTATAGTTCCTAATTGATTTTGTTTCCAATGTGAAGTACAGGGTGATATTTAGGCCTGCTCTATCTTACGAGGCAGTGGTTAAATGGAATAGTTCCATTAGTTGGTGCATTTTTAGTTTACACTGCTTTTTAGGCTGCCTTCAAGCAGATTATGCTAACTGAGAAAACCAGTCTGAGGCTTAAATTAGGGGTGTGGATTTTTTTCCATTTTTATTTATTTTTTAAATGAAACAGTTGGAACCAAATCAAAGTGCAGACTTTGAATCACAGTGCAAACATTATCCTTGCTGTGAATACAGAAGACATAACTTCCTGTTATTGATGTGTTGTTACAGTTCAGTAATACGTTTTCCTTTTGCTTGCAATATTTCAAGGTGTGTACGGGAAACTTATATGAAGATGAAAAGCTGAATTTTTTAACAGTCATTCAACTATTAAATGAAGCCCTAAGAATTTTAAGAGATGAATGCTATCAGTTTGACTCAAAAAACCACTTACAGCCCATTGTGAATATGGCAAAGTCACAAAGTAAAATGCTGTTGCGTTTGAAAGCACTGAGGTAATTATCTAGAATTTTTGTCTGGTTCTCTTTTGTTTATTGTGAGAATCATGTCATCTTATCCTTGAGTCTTTTCTAAAAGAATTGCTTATAGTGAGAATGTGTAGATTTGGTTTGACAAATTCATATTTGTCTTGATCCATCCATATAATTTTTAAACTGGAATTTGTTGTTAAGTAACTTCAGTTTTTTGCTCTTGCTCCATAGATATTTTAGGGTTTGTTTCTGGAGACCTGGCTAATTAGCTGATCTGCTTTTTCAGTATTACATTGATAAGTTCCAAGGTTGCAAAATTTGATCTGAAACTGAGTCGGGGAAGTTTAAGCATGTATTTGAATGTAATGCTTTAATTGTAAGGAAACATAAAGACAATGCAGCAGCTGTTTTTTAGGTTGTGAATTTCTGTTAGATTTTAATGCAAGCACAAATGTGTGAATAAGTTGTTGCCTGTCAGAGGTTTTGTAGGATAAGGGAAACGTGTAGGAGGATGATGATGATGATGATGATGATGATTATTATGTGTTTTTAAGTATAATTTTTATTCCAACACAATAACATTTCTTCCTTTGCAGACTAAGAATAGAAAAGCAGCACTTTATTTTGAGTAAATCAAATTCTAGAAGGCAGAAAGAGTGGATAATGAAGTGGCAAAGCTCTCTTGGCTGGTCTTCACTCTGCAACCGGGATTTAGTAAGTAGTGCTCAGTTCATCTGATGCTAGGGAAGAGAAGGGTTGAAGATGAGGTTCATATAAGCTGGTCTTTTCCGTTGTTGTATAATGCTGTATATCTTTGAACTTCATGGTTAGTGGATCAGCACATTATAGCAGAAATTGCTTTCTGAAGTAGTTTTTCTTTGCGAAGAAAGTGTGCTCAACTTAATGACAGCTGGTGTGACTTCATTTGATGTAGTGGGTGGAACTGCCTTGTCAAGACAGCACAAATAAGAATTGATTAATTTATATATCAACATTACATACTTCTTTTTCCCTCTGCTTTAGAAATTGAGCTTTCATGTGCTATCACTGGCCATCTACTGAATTGTATTTTTCCCTTTAAAGTGATCTCCTTGATGAACAATAGAAATTCCATTATGACTCTCTCCTCTGTACAGAGATCTAGGGTTATATCCTTACCTCGGTAGTGAGAAAAAGCTGCATGTTGAGCCTGGCTTCTCATTTGCAGAAAAGCTACTATGAATAACTGCCTGTTAATTGCTAATGTCACACAGTTTTTTCTCATTGCTTGTGTAATTTTTTTTCTTTTCTTTCGAAAGGATCTTGATGTGGTACAAGCTGTATCAGAAGCAGAAGAAGATTTTGAAGATCATATCTTTTCTCAAAATCCAGAATCAGATTCAGGTGTGTGAACTAGAGAAGCTTTTCCTGCTTCCCCACCACCACCTCAATTGTTGAGTTTTCATGGAACCCAGAATCATTGAATTGGAAGTCTTTTCCAACATTGGTAATTCTACAAGATCATCCAGCGCAGCCCAACCGTCCAACTACCACCAATATTAAGACTCCCTGCTTTTTGTTTGCAGGTTTCCTTGATAGACTGTGGTAATTTCGTTCTGAATGAATACTTAGAATAATAGCCTTTCATTTTGTCAACATAGTTCATTCAGGGGAGCAGATAGAATCATGCATCTCGAACATGCATTTAGGAGCAGCACAAATGGGTGCTGGCTGCTAGTGGCATCTGTGCCTGCAGGAGTTTAATGAGCAAACAGACTAAGATTCACCTGCACTGCTATGTTGATATCTTTTTCTTTAAGTGTTGAAGGTGCCTGTCCTGTGAATATTATACACCTGTGGTGTTAGTTACTTGTATTGCCTACAAAGTCTCAGCAACAACAAAAGAAGAAGCAATACTAAAATACTTATTTGCTTTTCTAGATATTCTAGACCTTTGGGAGATAAGTTACAAGAACAGTGAATCAACCACCAGCGTCTCATCATCGTTAACACCAACTAGATGGTATGACTTTAACAAGAAATTGATTTAAAAAAAACTAACAACCAACATCAGTGGAAATTATGGAAACTTATTTTGTGAGCATAAGTGGAATATTTCAGTAGTGCTCTCCTTACTTGTTATGCCCACCTGATAGGGTAAGTAAAAGTAAAGTAACTATGGCTTTCTGCACCTGGAGTCTGGTGAGCAACTGTTGGCTGACAGTGTTGAGCAGCTGAGCGGCAAGATTTTAGCTGTAACTTTTTAACTACATTCATTTAAGTTTTAGGAGGCAAAGGGGAGACTGGAGAATTCTCCTTCTCAGACTAGGTTGAGGTAGATGTATGTTCATTATAGTCTGAGAATAAGAAAACAGATATTCGCAGGAGCCTTGTTTCTGTGTTTAATTACAAATAAAACAGCCTAAACAAACAAGTCCAAGAGAAATCCCAGATTTGTGTCTTCTAAAATGACTTTTTTCTGTCTCTTTATTATAATTAAAAAAAAAAAAAAAAAGTTAAAACACAGGACTGAGTATTTTCTGAAGTCTTCTAAGGGGTTTTGACATGATATTTCATTAGTGCCAGAAAGTTTAATAAACTTGAATAACAGTATCGCAAGATAGAAATCCTACAACTATTTGAATGTTGCCTACTAGAAGAGAGGGAGTTGGCAAAGAAAAACAGTGCTGATGTTGTATAGTTTGACATTGCAGCTTATTTGCATATGAATCTCAAAAATTGTCTAATTGCTTAATGGAATTTCTCTCGGTGACTTGTTGCAGCATGGATTTTTGTCTATTTATGATTGTAAAGACATTCAGCAGTAAGTATTGAAATTCTAGGTTGTCTTCCTAAGAAGTGAGATCTGCATGTTATGTTTTAGAGCTTTGCCGTTAACACTGTAGTAATCAGAAATGATAAGACTTGAATATTTGGTGGTCAGGTGACGTGTGTATGAATAATTAGGGGGAAGAACATCAAGTCCGCAGAAGATTTTCCAATTGCCTTTGTTAGAAGAATATGGAAGACTCATTTACAAAACATACTGCAACACCCCTTCTCTTTCACTTTACTAATCAAGAGAAAAAGTTACATAATTACCAAGCTTGGGAGGCTGATACACAAATAGAGCTAAATCTGCTCTAGTTGTCACATGTTCTCCCTATAGTAAAATTGCCTTCTGATGACCGGGACGAATTGAGGGAAATCGTAACGGACAGATACGGGGCACACACATGTATAATGGCTGTGTACTAAGACTTGTATGCCACTTGTTTTGTTTTCCTCTAAAATGGCTTTTTTTTTTTTTTTTTAAAGGTTCGCTTCAAAATCTTCAGAGTTGTCAGAAACATCTGAAAACAAAGACCTGTTAACTGAAAAGGTTATTCTAAAGTGATTTATCACCTGTCCAATAAGTTAAATGTCTTTAATATTTGCTTTTGACGTTACTTGAAGCCTAAACTTAGTATGTTTTTTGTGAATTTTTTTTAAAGCAGTATAACTGTTCTTCTGAATCAGTCCTAAACTGTGAAAACTAATTGCATGAACTTCCTTAATAAATAGGCAAGCAATAGGAAATATGGGAACTTAATTATGTCTTCTAGTACAACATACAGCGTATCACAGATTTCCTGCCTGTGAAAATAGAACTGACTTTTTTGTTGTGAGCTACAGTCAGACTGGGATGTTCCTTTAAATTGTGTTTAAAAATAAGAGATACAATGTGTCCCAGGCGGAAATTGTATGTACAGTTGTCCATTGTACTATTGTTCATTGCAGTTTTTTGAAGGTAGTTGCAGATGGTATGGTCTGTGTTCAGTAATGACACCTTATTGTAGCCTCTACTTATGTCCTACTTTTTTTTTTAAATAAAATGAGTGTCACAATTACTTGTATTTAGTTAGAATTTAAAACCTTGAAATATTCTTGCTGATATAAATGCCAAGTTGGTTGCTCTCAGAATTTGTGCAGCATCTCCTTTATGCTAGTTTTCTGAGACTTGAATTTAAAACTTTTCATAACTATTGTATATTCTTCTAGGACTTGCATATTGAACCAGACAGTGGGAAAGAAAAGCCTGTGCCTCCAAAGATCTCAGAGGATGGAAAAGAGGAGCTCAGCTTATTAGAATCATGGGGAAACTCAGAAGGTCATGTTACCCAGAGAGATGCTCCTGTCGAAAAGAAAGATGTTCTTGAGAAAGCTAAAGAAGAATTGGCAGAAGAGGTCAGGAAAAGTTATTGTTTTGTTTATTTTTTTTTAAATAAATATCCATTCAGAAAAGAAATCGCAAGTGTTTTTGTGAAGTAGTTTATTTCATGTGTGTATATAAAAGGCTTTTTTTCCCTGCTATACAGATGCCACTGAGTCTTAGGAATGATGATGGCCCAATTAATTACAATCTGAAAGCACAGAACAAAGCACAGAATATTTCTAAGCCACTGTAATGTGAATAGCACTTTTGAAAGAATCATAATATGATTTTTTAACACCTTTTGTACTTTAGTTTCTGAACCACTGCATGTATTTAGAATTTAACAGTCCTTTTTGTTTCTGAGTTCTATGGCTCAAACATTTAACCAAATTTGGGAATTTTTGCAAAGATTCAACTGTTCTTTTTTTTTTTTTTTTTTTTTTGCATTTTAAGAGTTAAATAAGGAATTCCTCTAGAAGAATGATTGTTATGTTCCCCATATCTTGATTTGAAAGTTAAATTATCTTTCAGTGAAAGAGGGCTATTAATTGTCATCTATTAAAATGTTCTATTTTTGGAACTCTAACCTTTATACTTAAATCATTCTCGACCAATATCTCAAATATCTTTTGAGTATTTTTTTTTCATTTTAAAGGTAGATTCATGTGGGAGCTTCTAATCAAATTCTGATTTTGCTACCGTAACTTAATTTTGTGTTTATAGGGTACTGTTCTCGTTTTAAGCCTGAGTAGTAAATTGCAAAATAATCAGGAGGTTCAACTAATCCAGTCACTTAGAGAATCTGATTTGCTTGGAGCCATAGTTAACGGAAGTAAAGAAGTTATAATTATGCTTTCTCAGAATTTGCTCTTCTGTAATGTTCTACAGATTGCAAAAATAATGACATCTGAGTCACCTCAGAGTGTTGGAGGAAGAGGAGTAGCATCAGATGATCTTACTAGCTTTCTGGATTTTGACCCGTTTTTGACAAGGAAACAAATTCCCCGAACTCCAGAAAATCTGCGTGAGTCTAAAATGCTGTGTTCATATAATATGCTATCACTAATGAGAAATGTAGCTAGCTCATTGACATTGTACATTTCACACATGAAGAATAGTTCACTCTGTGAAGCTGCATGTAACCCTAAAGGCTTACTTGTGTAGCTCAGTATCAGCATGTACTGTAAATTTGCATAGATGTTTCACTAGCATAGATGTTTCCTCTGTTGAATCCCCTTCTGTTGTGAGGCAGGTGTCTTGGGAACATTAAGCATAAACAAGTATAAGGGCTTTATTACATATATATATATATTTTTTTTTTCCTGATTTCTTTATGTTACTAACTAGACAGTAGAAAAATTTGGTTGAGAGTGTGAAAGAAAAAAATTTAAAAATTTTGTGTTTGTTTCATTAGTTACTGAAATTAGAAACTCATGGAGAAAAGCTATTCAGTCTGAAGACTTGTCAGATGCAGAGCTGATCTCAACTGAAGAAATAATAGATGCTCCAGTGGATGCTAGTCCTGCAATTCAAGATAAGGCAGCCATTACTTTAGATGGGGCTTCCTCTTCATCTGCTGTATCTAACTTTGATTATCCATTGTCAGAACAAAAGTCTGAAGGAGGTTCTGCAAAATTTAGAGCTCTAAAGCAGATGATAAGTCAATTCAATGAACCTATGCTTTGGGAAGAAACATCTGGGATACTAGTGGGTATGGACAGTGATGAAGAAGAATTAGAGCATGCTGTTTCTGGAGAAAGTTTTATAGGAAAAACGAAACAATCACCGTGCATATATGTAGAGAAGAGCTTGAATACTCCATGTATTTCTTCAGAAGACAGTAGTAAAGAGAATATTCTGCCCTCAAATCACCTTTTGGATTTAGTGGATAAAGATCTGCAGTGGAATGCGTCTCCATTGTTAAGTTCTAACTGTTGTGAAGTTGATGATTTTGGGATGCTACATGAGACTACTCCAAAAGAGCTTAATAGCAGAAGTTCTAATAAATTTGTGATGTCTGAATCTGGATTTGATTTTTTAGGCAGTATATTTATACCAGATAATCCATTAAATCAAGGGAATACTCAAAATTTAAAGCCAAATCTAGATTCCCTGCTCAACAGATACAGAAAACTGAAAAAAAGTGTATGTGGAGAAGGACAGGAACTGCATGAGATGTTTCCTGGAGATGAATCTTTAAGTTATTTCTCAGACCTGAGTCTTACTCCAGAAGAAGGAGAAAGAGATGATTTGCACGTATCTGTAGAATGCTTCAGCTTGGATGAAGAGTTTACCAAGGTACAATCACCAGTATCTCTTCCTGACAAAAATCCTTCCCTGCCATCTTTGCTGGCCTTCTCTAAACACGTAGAAGAAGTGTCATCAAATATTGATGAAATCCCATTAGACCCGATAAATAAATTGAAGGGTAAGTGTCCATGTACTTCAGCAACCAGGTTTTGTCTGTTTTGCCACCAGTTATACTACCACAGGTGTCATCTGAGTAGCTGAACCCTCCTGTAAAAGTGCCAGACAAAAGATTATTTGCATGCTTATTTCTTATAGATGATGAGACAAAAGCAAAGCAAATGTGTTCTATTTTTCTTGTTTTATGTATGTCTTTTTAGAAAGAAAAAAGATACTTGTCTGATTTTTCTAAGAAAACCTACAGCTATTAAAAAAAAACAAAAACAAACAAAAAAACCCACTATACATGCATTAGCAGCATCATCATCTGAATTTATATCTTGAGAATTCACAAAGTTGATTTGAAATAACATGTTTACCCTGAGTATATTTAGTTCTTTAGAAATATGTAGTAGGCAATATAAACTTGTGGAGTTCTCAGACATTTGTAGTCTATGTGTCCTCTTCTGTTTAACCACTAGTGCACTGGTTTAAGAAACGCAAGGTTAACTTTTGATGTACGTAAATAAAGATGGGCCAGTAATGGCTGTACACCACTAAAACGTATGTTTTTAGTGATATACTAGAAGTCTAAGGGGCAGTGAGATTTATGCTTTTTGTGAAGGACTGCCACTTTAAATAATCAGATGAAAGGTAGTGATGCTTTTTCAAGTAATGCTTGATGAGGAAAACTTACTATATGCAGTGACTCACATTGTTTGTAAATGTGAGTGGCTTGGGTTATATTGCTTAGTTTACCTCACTTTAAGAGAAACAAAACTCTGCTGCAGTGCATCTGCTGGGTACTGCTTTAAAAGATATTTTTCGGAAGGATAACTTAGTTTGACTTCCGAGGACACAGTCTTTCCTCACCCACTTTGTACTGTATGACTTAATACTTCTTTGGTGTTGTTTTGACATAGTGTTTTGTGAAGAGATCTTGTAAGTGTGTGACAGTGCCATTTGCTTTTTTCCATATCAAAGCATTGAGTAGATGATACTTTGGTCTAATCTACTGCCAGTGTGAAGGGCAACTTGATACAGAATCACAGAATTGCTGGGTTGGAAGCGACCTCAAGAGATTGAGTCCAACTCCCTGCTTAAGCAGGCACCCTCCAATAGGTTGTACAGGTAGGCGTCCAGATAGGTCTTGAATGTCTCCATAGAAGGAGATTCTACAGCCTCCTTTGGTGACCTGTGCCATTGCTTCATCATCCTTACTTCGTCTTCATGATTGTATGGAACTTCCTATGTTCAAGTTTTAGGCCATTACTCCTTGTCCTGTTGCTACGCAACACTAGGAAGAGCCTGGCTTCATCATTTGCCTACCACCTCTGGTCAGATATATGTATACATAAACATGAATCAGATCTCCCCTCAGTTGTCTTTTCCCCAGGCTGAACAGACTGAGGTTACTCAGTCTTTACTCCAACAGGAGATGCTCCAGATCCTTTATCATGTTTGTGGCCATCTGCTGAATCCTTCTAGAAGATTCCTATCTTTTTCTGTACTGGGGAGCCCAGATCTGGACACAATATTTTAAATGCGGCTTGACCAGGGCAGAGTAAAGGGGGAGGATTACCTCCCTCAACCTGCTGGCCATGCTCTTTAATGTGCTTCGAGGTACTGGGTACCGTTGGCCTGCTTTGCCAACATGCCAAGGGCACACTGCTGGCTAATGGCCAGCCTATTGTCCACAAGAACACCCAGGTCCTTCTCTGCAGAGGTTCTCTCCGGCAGGTCATTCCCCAATCCGTGTACTGATGTCTTCAGTTATTACTCTCCACATGCAAGGCTGTGCTTACTCTTACTGAACCTCATCAGGTTCCTCCCTGCCCTCCTCTCTAGTTTGTCCAGGTCCTGCTGAATGGCAACGCCTTCTTCTGGTGTGTCAGCCACTCCTCACAGCTTTGTATCATTAGCAAACTTGCTGAGATTGTTCTTTATCCTTTCATCCAGATCATTCATGAAGACGTTGAACAAGACCAGACCCAGCACCTATTCCTGGGGGATGCTGCTAGTAACAGGCCTCCAACCAGACTCCGTGTCATTGATGATAGCCCTCTTAGCTCTGCCAGTCCTCAGTCCACCTCACCGTCAACTCATCTATCTCATGCTTTCTAGGATGTTGTGAGAGATGCTGTTTAACACTTTGCTACAGTCAAGGTAGACTACATCCACTGCTCTCCCGACATCTACCCAGCCAGTGTTGACATTACAAAAGGCTACCAGGTTCATCATGTGTGATTTCTCGTTAGTGAATGCATGTTGACTAATCTTAATAACTTTCTTCTCTTCCAATTGTTTGGAGAGGGTATCCAGAACAAGTTCCATCACCTTTCTAGAGTTGGAGGTGAGGCTGACTGGCTTGTAGTTTCCTGGATCCTCTTTCTTGCCCTTTTTGAAGACTGGAGTAACATTGGCTATCCTCCAGTCTTCAGGCACCTCCCCCATTTGCCAAGACCTTTCAAAGATTATCAGTAAGGGAGTGATTCAGCAGCCTCCTCTGCCAGCTCCCTCAGCACACATGGGTGCATCCCATCATGCCCCATGGATTTGTATACACTGATTTTGGCTAAACGCTCTCTGACCAGATCCTTGACCAACAGGGAGTCTTTCTTTACCTGGACTGTCTTTCTTAACTCCAGGTTTGAGATTTCCTGAGGGGAAGTCTTTGTAATGACTGAAGCAAAGAAAGCATTGAGAATCTCCATCTTCTCAGTGTTCCCTGTTACCAGGGCACCCACTTCATTTTGTAGGGGACCCACATTTTCCCTAGTCTTTTTACTGTTGACGTGTTTAAAAAACAAAAACAAAAACCTTTCTTGTTATCCTTTACCTCTTCTGCAAGGTTTAATTCCAAGCAGGCATTAGCCCTCCTTGTTGCATTCCTACAGGCCCTGGCAACATTTTTGTGTTCTTCCTAGATGTATAGACTGTTTTTCTGCATTTCATGGACCTTCTTTCCTTTTAGTTTATCCATGAGTTCCTTGTTCATTCACACAGGCCTCTTGTCGCCTTTCCCGTTTCTTACTCTTAAGAATGCACTGATCTTGAGATTGGAGGAAGTGGTGTTTAAGTGTCAGTCAGCTCTAATGGGCCCCCTTACCTTCTAATGCTCTAACCCAAAGGATGCCTCCAACTAGATCTCTGAAGAAGTCGAAGTCAGCTCTCCTGAAATCCAGGACAGCAACCCTTAATGCTTTGCTTCTTCCAAACTTTCTTAACTAGGCTTCCAAATTTTCTCTTAAAATTGAGCATAAATGCTCATGCTGTGTATTTCCCACTCAGTTCTCCTATATAAGTAACTTAGTAACATAAAATTGTGGCTGTATTGATAACAGATGATTTTGTCAGACTTAAACTTGAAGTGCTCTTGTATACATATTTTTCTACTGTGTGCTAAATGCTGTTGGAACAGTATTTTCTATCAGTTAATTGAACATTTCACAGCTATCAAAATTGGAAATAACATTTTATTACTTTTTTAATACATGCAGATACTTTTGGGGCAGTATTTCTGTTAGTTAATTGAACATTACACAATGTTAACCAATACAATTTTTTTTTCCTACAGATAAAGAGGAGTTGAATGAGAAGCTGAGCACAAAGGAACCACCATCGTTATTGTAAAACTTGTAAAACATACGAACAATGATAGTATTAAATTTATGATGCACTTGAGCGCTTCATAATTTCTCCAAGCACTGTCCAGATGATAAGTTGCACTCCTATTTCTTGCCAAGCCTGTGTGCCAGATTTCTTGTCAGTGTCAGTTGCTTGCCTTGGTCCCTTGCGTTTCAAGTCATCTATAGTAATTTTCTGCGAACAACTCAAAACTTATGTACAAAATTATATATTCCTTTGTAAACACAGCTTTGAAAATAGCAGATGTTGAGGATGTTGTTTTTCCACTTTCTAAAATTACATAAAGTCTCAAAGGAAAAATCGCAAAATATTTGGTGTCTCTATCCTGCCCCTTTAAAATAGTAAATTATTTGGTGCTCTGCCTATACTGGATTTTCTTCTCTTGAAACATATGGCCAAATATTATCATCAGTTTTCAGTGTTGATAAAGACCCTTTAATAAATTTCTCCCACCGAAGTGGAATTTTTAGTACATTTCCTTTAGGCTTTGTACTAAAATTTCAAATTGAGGTTTCAAACTATGATTTCTGGTAGGGTTAATGCTATTTTATTTTCAGACTGTAGATGTTCCCTAGTAGATTTATATAAATCTGTACACTATGCGTAATGTATACATTTATGTTCATGACACTGCAGTGTAACTGACAATAACATTATGACAGTCCATTTCCATGTCGATATAGTTGTGGTTGAACAGCTCGAGACTACAGCTATCAGCTGTCTGAAATAGGCTTGCTGTGTTGCTTGCAGACCTGAGTCTAGAGCTTGGTGGTGGTGACTTCACAAAGGCTTCCTAGGAAACTGACCCAAGTACTTGTGCCCTGGTCAGAAAATGCTTGAAAGCAGGAACCACAGAGCTCTGGTCTGCTGGCAGAGGAGCTTGGTCATGCAAGCCAGGGAAGGAGCTGATCAGTTCAGATGTGATCTGACAGTATGATCTGCTTCTCAAAGTTCCTAGATTTTTTTGACATTATTGTTTCAAGGGATTGCTGCTGAAGAGGTTTTCTGCTCTAGAGCATCTGTGGGAAAGACCTGATCCATAACTTTTTCTTACCAAACATGCGTCCAGAGTCGCCTGTGCCTTTGCACTCAGTGCCATCCTTGAAGACATGCGTTTGTCAACTGTGCTCCTGTGGGTATGTAAGAATAAGGGGGAAGGAACTTGGAACGGGTTCCCTGCTAGCAAGATACACTACTCATTAGTGCTACAGATATTACTCACTGCTCTTTAATTATAAATACTTTTTTCCATATGGGATGTACTGAATGAGTTAGTTCTTGGTTTTCTTCTTTCTTTTTCATAGAAGTATACAAATGGCAAGGAGACTTCCCATGTTTCTTTTTACGTGGATTGCCTCTCTAAGAGGAGAGCATTTAACTTTTTGGCCACAAATCTGCTTTCAAATACATCTTTCAAATACGTGTTACTAACTTTGAGTGCTTTAAATTAGTGAAAGTGATCCTTCCTCTGTAAATGTGCAAATTATGAAAAATGTGAGAACTTTGCAAATAGATGAGACTACTGAAAACAGCTAGATTTGTTAGTACTTGTGTCTTTTGAATGTATGCAAACTCTTGAATGCAATAAGTAGCTTCAGGCCCTCTGACATAAGATCCATCTTTTCATGTTTGCAAGTTAAAAAAAAAAAAAAAAAAAAAGTGGGAAAAAATATTGACTCATAACTTAATTTGTTTTAAAGCTGTAAAATTACAAAGAAGGAATGTATAAGATGCCGATACAGAGTTCATGTCAGATTGGAATGTATTACACATAATGAATAAGAAATGAATAATAAATACATGTACTCCAAAAAGAAAAGTATTTTTTGTTACCAAGCTGCATTTTTAAGTATTTTTATTTGTCTTATTTGTAAGATGCAAGTGCTTCTGTTCCTTCCATTCTTCATTCTGTATGCATTATTCCTTTACTTGATAAATGGTTGTATTTGACTTTGAGACCCGTGTTAAAGAAAGGCAACAGAGATTTGATTATTCACAGAATCGTAGGGGTTGGAAGGGACCTCCAGAGATCATCGAGTCCAACCCCCCTGCCAAAGCAGGTTCCCTACACCAGGTCGCACAGGTAGGCGTCCAGGCGGGTCTTGAATATCTCCAGAGAAGGAGACTCCACCACCTCCCTGGGCAGCCTGTTCCAGTGCTCCGTCACCCTCACCGTAAAGAAGTTCTTGCGCACATTGGTGCGGAACTTCCTATGCTCCAGCTTCTGGCCATTTCCCCTTGTCCTGTCTCCACACACTGCTGAAAACAGTCTGGCCTCGCCACTCTGCCCCCCACACCTTAGATATTTATAGACCTGGATCAGGTCCCCTCTCAGTCTTCTCAAGGCTAAACAGACCCAGTTCACTTAGTCTTTCTTCATAGGGGAGATGCTCCAGGCCCTTCACCATCTTTGTGGCTCTCCGCTGGACTCTTTCCAAGAGATCCCTGTCTTTTTTGTACTGAGGAGCCCAGAACTGGACACAGTACTCCAGATGAGGCCTTACCAGGGCAGAGTAGAGGGGGAGGATCACCTCCCTCGACCAGCTGGCCAAGCTCTTTTTAATGCACCCCAGAGTGCCATTGGCCTTTTTGGCCACAAGGGCACACTGCTGGCTCATGGCCAACCTGTCGTCCACCAGGACACCCAGGTCCCTCTCTGCAGAGCTCCTCTCCAGCAGGTCATCCCCCAACCTGTATTGGTGCATGCAGTTATTCCTCCCTAGGTGCAAGACTGTTAGTGGGTTTTGGTATCAAGGACCTAAACTTAAAGCATTCTGATCTAGATTGAAAAGGATCCTTTACTCTATCCAAATAATGTATACGTTTACTTTTGAGACACTTAATCTTTCAGAAGCTACAGAAGCTGCTGGGATAGATGTTTTGCAAGAGCAGCTAAATAGGATGTAGATAATATCTTGGCTGTGGCCTGTCTTACAAAAAATCCAACCAGAATGTGGGTTGCTGCCACGTTGGCAGTTCTGAATTAAGAAGTAATGGCAAAGAATATGGTGCATGGAATTAGATCATCACAGAAATTTAAAAAATTTCAGTATCTCAGTACTCAGTGCTGATGAGGCTGTACCTTGAGTACTGTGTTCAGTTTTGGGCCCGTCAGTACAAGAAAGACATTGAGGCCTTGGAGTGTGTCCAGAGAAGGGCAACAAAGCTGGTGAGGGGTCTGGAGCACAGATCTCACGAGAAGAGATGAGGGAACTGGGATTGTTCAGACTGCAGAAGAGGAGGCTCAGGGGTGACCTTTCTCTCTTGAACAACCTAAAGGGAGATTGTGTTGAGGTGGGGGTTGGCCTATTTTCCCATGTACAATAGGACTAAAGGGAATGGCCTCAAGGTGCACCAGGGGAGATTCAGGCTGGATGTTAGGGAATAGTACCTGTCTGAAGGAGTGATCAGGTGCTGGAACGGGCTGCCTGGAAGATGGTGGAGTCACCATCCCTGCAAGATGGTGATTACCAAGGTCTTATCAGTAAAGACCAAGAGCAGTTTTACTCAACATATGTCTATAAACATTGTTTTTCAAATAGTGGGGATTGCTAATTGTCAGCAAATCTGACTTCATCAATTTATAGTTTATCATTTTGGCAAAATTTTCTTTCTTTTTGTGGGTAGCTATGAGAGCAAAAATAATCTGTTATTTCAAAATTTCTGTTTACTGAATGGTAAAGCAAATGGATCAAGAAGAGTTTTATTGGTGTTAGACATTCTGATGGTTTCTGAACATGGCAATGTAGAAGCATAGCATTCTGGAAAATGGAATAAAATATTAAAGCCTTAAGTTTCTAAAGGAGGAAACTAAGGATAGATCAACAAATATCAAAGAAAATTAGCATCATTAGGTTGCTTGAAAATAAATTCATGACCATTTAACAGCTGTACCTTCTAATGAGAGAAGCTGGTCATTCTCTTAATCCTCCAATCTGACTCACTGAGTCTTTCTACTAAAAATAAGTTCAGTTTACAACAGCACAGATAACTGCTCTTGGCAGGGTTTTGAAGATAGGTACTGTACATATGTTGGCTTTTTTAAGTCAGCTAGGAACTTGCAGTCTTCAATCAATTTTCAATTTCCTTTCTAGAATCCATTCTTTGCCTGAAAAGGCTATGGCAAAGCATGTTTGTGAGTGCACCAGGAAGTCTGTATTCCCTTAAGGAAAAGAATGACTGTACTGCATCTGAGTACTGTATTTTTTTTTGTGAGACTTGTAACCATCTGCAAATTATGTGTTTGCCTTTTTGTTATGTGTTTTGCCAGTGTATTTTTCAGACCTGAGTTTTGTACCCCTGGCAATACTTGCCACAGCTGAACTGTGGCAGTAGTGTCTTTTTCTGCAACCATGTTGTTGTAGATATTTGAAATAGTGGCTCTCTAAGTTACAGTTTAATGTGTGAATCAATCTCTTCTTGTGATCTAGCCATGATAGATTGGTTGGATTTAAATAGTCTAAAGATTTGCAAATTGTTGATATCTTTCTGCTGGATGCTCTAAGCCTCTAAACTAATGTACCAGTGTCCTTAAATATAGCTGTCCCACCTATCTTCCCTCTCTCAGTTTAGATATAGTGTGATGAGGTGCTTGCTGCTCCTTATTGCATATATGGAAAGAAATGACTTGGAGCTGTGAATTTCCCCTTGGAGTCACTACACTGGTTTCTTGTATCCCAGGATGTGTCATACTGTCAGGAGCATTTCTGAGCTGCATACACATAATGCAAGGAACTGGCAAGATTCAAGACTAAGTGATAGGGGAAGTGAGTAGAGTGCACACATTTATATTCTTGGCTTGGTTAACATAACCTTGTTTTGACTGTTCAGTATTGAATTCCACTTCTCCTAATTTTTGTTTTTTGTCTTTTCAACTTACAGAGAATGTAAATAGGTGTCTTTTGAAGCATATCTTATTATTGCTGGATTGCTCTGTTTTTACAAGTAGAATAATAGCTACTACTTACTGCTGCAGACACTTTGTTCCTCTGGCAGACTGTTCAGATTATTCTAGATCTGGCACAGTGAAAGGGGATTTGTGAAAAGGATCCTTATTCTGTGAGATCACTGTTTTGTGATCTCACAGGAGACAATTCTAAACAGCTTGCTTCTCTCAAAGTAATTCTACTGCATGAGTCATGTCCCATCTGCTTACCATAAGATAAAAGCCCAAGATAATGGGAGCTTGCAAGTACTGATTGTTTTTGCCCCTTGTTTTGTTAATATTCTAAATTTTTCACCAGAAGATGGCAGCAGGTTAACGTTAGTCACAAATATTTCGACTGCTTACTGTTGGATAAATACAGAGATACTTTGCTAAATATTTGGAACCAAATAATTTACCATAGGCCGCAGCATGAAAACGGACATTTCAAAGTTCTGCATGTCAAGCAGTTTTGTGGCTTTGTAGGTCTGGCTGCGCCTGGTCTGCCAGTCCTCTGCAAGTGTTGGCTTTTGTTCCTAAACCTCAGTGTTAGGGTTTCACTTGGTGGCCTTTTAAGAGCATTTATTTTGGAAGAAAAATCAAAGGAGGTAGAGCTGATGCTTAAATTAGTTTGCATTTATTGTATATTGCCTTTTAGTTCAGGAAAATGTTTCATTCTCTTCCTAGAATTAATTTGCTTGGCAATATACTTCAGTTAAATATGGGTGATATTTTCTGTGGCAAAAGGCATCAGTTCCAGTTCTTTCTCCACTTCTCCTATTGTATGGTTCAGAAAGAATTTTTGTTTTCAATGAGAAGACTAAGTAAATATTGACTGAAAAATATGCAGTTCAGTAGCCCTCGCAGATATTTTGTGGAAAATAATCTGTGGTGGCCAGAAAAACAAAACTGTGGGTCTTTTGTTGTTGTTGTTATTTTTCCCCTTGTAGCAATAAATGAATTATTATTGTAGTAAATATTCATAGATATATAATAGTTTGGGTTGGAAAGGACCTTTAACAATCATGTAATCCAATCTTGCTGCTGTCAGCAGTCATCTCTCACTACATCACAGGGCATCCAACCTGGCCATGAACACATGCAAGGGTGGGGCATCCACAGCTTCTCTTTTTCACAGCAACCTTTTTCAGAGTCTCATCACCCTTTGAGTAAAAAACTTCTTCCTCATATCTAACATATATCTCCCTTCTTACGGTTTAAAACCATTACTGCTTGCCCTACATGTCCTTGTAAAATGTCTCTCTAGTTTTCTTATAAGCCCCCTTAAAGTGTTGAAAGGCTGCGAAAAGATATCTCTAGAACCTTCTCTTCCTCAGCCTGAACAACCTCAACTTCTCTGCAGTGCTGCTTTCAACCCATTCATCACCCAGCTGGTACTGATTGGGATTACCCTGACCCAGGTACAGCACCTTGTCCTTGGCTTTGTTGAACTTCATGAAGTTCAAGCGGGTCCACTTCTCAGGCCTGTCCAGGTCCCTTTGAATGGCCACCCTTCATTCTATCCTTTCAACTGCAGTACTCAGCTTGGTGTCATCCACAAATTTGCTGAGGATGCACTTTGAGCCCACTGTCTAGATTGTTGATAAAGATGTTAAACAGCACTGGTGGATCCTGAAGGGATATTGCTCATCGCTGATCTCCACTTGGAAGTTGAGCCATTCACCAGGAATTTTGTGATGTAGCCATCCAGCAAATTCCTAATCTACTGAACAGTCCAACCTTCAAACCCATCTCTTAACAATTTAGAGACAAGAATGTTCTGTGGGATGATGTCAGAACCTTACAGAAGTTGAGGTAGGTGACATCAATTCCTTTTTTCTCTTGTCCTCTGATATAGTCACTCCATCATAACAGTCCGCTGGATTCTAGTAACT